GAGCTTCATCGAATGGCTCATCAACTTAATCCCACGGTAGTTACCACAGCTTTGAACATCACCCTTGTACTTGAAGATCGGTACTAAAGTACTTCTCCTCCATTCATCAGGCATCTTGTATGTATGAGTAGATTAAATTTTGTATGTGGAGGCCTAACCCGTCAGGGTCAAGGAGAAGGGGGAGGGGCAGTGCAACCTTCTTGTGGCACCTCCTGGGTGGGCGATGAACTAGTTGTCGAGGGAGGGATCGGCCAACCAAGGTGGGGAGGACGGCGACAAAGATGGATCCAAAAGAAAACTAGGATAAGACAAAAAATATGAATGATTAATTTGTTTGGTTAATGTTAAAAGTAAATGGAAGATAAATAAGATTGTAGAAAATACTATATTATTTGTGTAATATCATTAAATTTTTAATTGATTATTGATTTCTTTGTTAATGTTAACTTCTTTTGATTTTTTTCTTTTTAAATTCTAATAATTTACATGGTGCCTGGTGGAATATTTATTTCACATGGGTTCTTTTTTCGATATTCATTAATAAAAACACCTAATTACAAGTGGCTAATTAGCTGAATGAACCAGGTACACAGCTGAAAAAGGTAGCTTAAATTCTACAACACAAACAGAACCCACAAAAAACTAAAAAAAAAAAGTCCTACAGAAATACACACTCGCTTTAGGAGATAAAAACACAACAAACCCACTCACAAAATGAACACATAACCTAACAGCAAAACAAGCAATGGCCACAATAAAGCCCTCCTCCACAATTGTTAAACTAAATGAGCCTCGCTTGGCTCGTTAAGGCTGGAGTTCGGCTCGACTCGTTTGATAAACAAGCCGAGCTCGAGCCTCGTTTGATTAATGAGTCGAGCTCAACTCGATGAGGCTCGTTCATGCTCGAAAAGAGAATTTTTATATAATGTTCTTAGTTCGGCTCGTTAAAGCTCGAGATCAACTCGTTATTAGTGATGAATGAGCCGAGCTCGAGCTCAATTTCAAGCTCGTTTTATTTAACGAGCTGAGCTTGGCTCGGGTTGACTCGTTTGCTAGCTTATTAATAACATGTGTAATAAAAAAAGGAAATGTAAAAGGTATCTATATAAATTTTTCGTGTATTAAATTTTTCAAGGTTCTCTAATTTAAATTTTGGCGTAAGTATTACTCGGACTAGATTAGCAGGCCATGGGACCTCTTAATTTGTTTATTAAGTTGAAATAGAATATAGAGTACATACCACTATAGGTTTTCTTTTGTTGTAATTTTTTATTTTTTATTATTATTTTTTTTTCTTTTTTTGTGTTCATCGAACTATCCAGGATTCCCAATTTTTGCATATCATACCGTATGTGCCATAATGAACCATCTTAACATTTGATGCAGTCAACTACACACAAAATGTTGCCATTGCTAACACAACTACTGTCATTATGCTTTAGGTTAAATGGGATGAAGACATGACGACTAATCATCAAGAACGGGTTTCACCATGGGAAATTGATTTCTCAAGTAATTATGCACCTCTAAGCATTGAGTCCTCCCCTAGAACAAAAAGACTGAGGTCCACTTTACATGCATCTCATGATGGTAGCTCAATTACAAGTACATATACCTTCCCTAAAATTATATTTGGATAACTTAATTTGTTGTAATTTTTAGAAAATGACCCCTTTTTTTCTGCTTTTAAGCAGGAAATATTCTGCATTTGGATTTTGAGCAGCATGAAAGAGCCTCTAAGGTCTTGCAAGGTCAAGAAAATATCGGTCTAACATCATCACCTCTCAGTAACAGTGAGGGTACGCGCCGCTATCTCGGTTTTGAAATACTGTCATCAGCTCATATTCCTTTACCAAATGGAATAGAAAGGACTAATGAGTATAGTGAGTATGTGAGCAAGCCGGCTCATGCAACTTTCAAGGGCTTTTTGGAATCTGATAGGTTTCCAAAGGTCTTGCAAGGTCAAGAAATTTGCTCGCTGAGCTCTCTAGCTGGGAAAAACCACTGGAATCTTGGTCATTTGTCTAATAAAACTATTTTCGCTTCCAATAATTTCAACATGTATCATGGGCCGATGCTCGGCTTCTACCCTCTGGCTTCCGAAGGGGCTCGAACTATGCCGTTTACTTATAAGGACATCTATGGAGGTCGACGAGGCATTAAAATGCAGACAAATAATTTCGATGTTCTGACAGGAAATTACGTCACGACACCAACTTCCGTTCTGACACAGTCCACCTCAGATGTGTTTGAGGGCAGAACACTAACGAAGGAGAATCCTACAAATGTGCTAATGCATCTCAAGAATATGAGTGGTGAAGATAACTTGGAGAAGATCCCTAGTTGTAAATTATTTGGTTTTTCCTTGGTGGAAGATCCTGCTGTGCTTAATTCTCAAGGCCAAAGTCCGAGGATGTGTGTTGAGGTAACATTCCAAGTGGTTGCTACTTGAGAATTGATTTTTTTTTTTTTTTTTTTTTTT